CTGTCAATTCACCCATGAACGTTCATCCGAACAGAAAGCAGGAGGAGCGACATAACCTTGCAAATTATTTTCAACCTTCCCCGAACAATGTTGTCCTACATCCCTTTCCCCCACACGGCCATCCCCCACCACCTCCTATCCCGCCTCCAATCTATCATGCCCACAAACACCCTTACAAGTGTGTCCATTGTGGGTTATATCATCTGAGTCCCCAGGAGTGTCGCCTCAATCCCCCCTACCCCGTCAGTTGTTTTCCTGCACCACTAAATCCTTTCTTTGTCAATATTTTCAATTTCATGTCTGTTTTCTTTATTCTCTCGGTAGTAGTATACACCTATTTGTGTATGTACAGTGCTATTAGTACCCTGTACCCCTGCCCGTTGCTTATCAATATGTACTAGCTTTCAGATGCATTGATTTGATCGTCATTTTACTGATAGTTGAAGTGTGAATATGTGTACCGGATATGTCTTTTTATAATGTCTTTTTGCGTTCAGAATGTTAATGCTTTGAATATAATGTCATTGATATGTCCAATTATGATTCTCATATCCCCGATATTTTTGTATCAAATGATGTGTATATATTAACTGAATTGTGTGACGCAAGGAGATGAGATACAGGAAGGGAGAGTGATAACGTTTTTTGTAACAGAGTGAGGGAGGCATAGAGAGTCAGATAGAGTGAGAGAGAGTGGAAGAGAGACAGTGAGAGAAAGAGTAGAGGAGATACAGGAGAGGGAGAGAGAGAGAGATCGATTTCGTAACAGGGAGAAAGAGAGGTCACTGCTGTCCCGTCTGATTGTTAGGATGATAGAAAATGACGATCCATTTCATGTCCATATTGATGCTACTTTGTACTTTCTGTTTCTGAAACACTTGTCGTCGTACAGGTTATTTAGTGGAAGATATTCATCTATAGTTGTTTCTTGTACCTGACTTACTTTGATTCAGTGTGTTATTCGTCTGTCAATATGTTTATTTAGAAAAATGGGTTCCATGACATGTATCTTAATGTACCAAAGGAAATTGTCTTTAAAGAAATATTTACTGTCCTTTAATGTCGATATTGCTTACAGTTATCCCCTTTTAAACAGCCCGGGATACATTAGGCCTTAACCAACATGACAACGAAATGACATAAGCTATTTACAGAAAATAAACAATATATTGTTTATCACAAAGTGTATTTAAAGTGCATAAGATAATTAGATATGTTGTAAAATTATTTGTTAAAGATGAATTGGATAAAAGAAAGATAAAACACGCATTTAAAACGTAAAATATAAAAGGGAAATATACCATAAAGAGTAAAAGTTGGCATCTAAAAGATATTTCCATAAAATAATTAGCTACGATATAGGAAATCTGAAAGGGTAGTTAAAAAAGCTTTGCAGGTCTTGGCACTGATTAAAATCACGTCAGGTGAAGAGAGAATATAACCCACTTTCTGTACATCACTAAAATCAGAGAAGTCAGGGCACGCAGGTCATGGATGATAGGGCACGCAGGTCATGGATGATAGGGTACGCAGGTCATGGATGATATCTTAAACAGTGGGCAGTGAAGGTGACATGCATCTCGTTTTCGACAGCTTGTCAACATAGAGGACAAGTCCTCGCTTCTTCAGGCGTGTTCTTGTAACCCCCAGTTTCAATCTTCAGGGGCTACTCCGCACCTAAACCTTGACCTGGCGCTCTCTGGGAATGTTTATGACACATCTAACATATGATTTGGTCCGAAATTTGCTCTTGAAAGTGCAGTAAGTGCGAAGTTTGTTCCATCTGTTTCCTTGTGATTGTGTAGGTTCGACCGGTGAAGATCCGGGATAGAATAGGTCTTCAGCAACCTATGTGCTTGCCATAAAAGGCGACTATGCTTGTCGAAAGAGGCGACTAACGGGATCGGGTGGTCAGTTTCGCTGACTTGGTTGACACATGTCATCGGTTACCAATTGCGCACATCGAGGCTCATGCTGTTGATCACTGGATTGTCTGATCCAGACTCGATTATTTACAGACCGCCGCCATATAGCTGGGATGTTGCGGAGTGCGGCGTAAACGTAAACTCACTCACTCACTCACTCACTCGCTGTGTAGGTTCAGTTATCTCTCTTTCCCATTTTGATAAAACCTGATCAAAAACAGCTTCCTCTTTCTTGCCCGAAACGAACCTCCTATAGTAAAAGTGTTCTAGAGATGTATAGTGTCCCATTCCGAGCTGGTTGAACATATGTATCCTCCTATAGATTTGATTTCTCTTACGTCTGGCGGCCCACTGGTGAATCCATATGAATATGTGATGGGTTGGTCTGTCAGGATCCATGTTGCGGAGTCCGCCACCATATAGCTGGAATATTGCTGAGTTCGGCGTAAAACTAAACTCACTCACTCCATGTTGCGGAGTCGCATATAGAGGCTCGTCACATATCCCCACTGCCGGACGGTCGGGGGGACCCAGCCCATGTCTCAAACCACTGCTTTGTAAGGGTCAAAACGTCG